TCTTGGGGTAAAGCGAACTTAGTGCTTGTGTGTACAGTGTGATTGGTTGAGATAGCTCAGTTGGACAGAACGACTGTGAAGTCGTATTGCCGGATGTGCTAGGGTAGCCTTAGAGGTTAAAATTTTGGGTCGGGAGCTGACCTGGAACTCAGTGTCGGAAGGAACATGTGAAGGGAAGCTGGGGCTTATGGTTATGAATATCAGAGGATATTTTCGACTGGGCATGGTCATTCTTCTAGTGTCTGAGAGCAGAGTATTGAGATTCATTCTTCAGATTGGTTCTGATAGCAGTACTGGTGGTTGGTCCTTAGTAAGATGTGACCCCTCCGTTCCTTTTGAGTTACGATCAGGATCGACTGGTATGTCAGGTATGAGAGTTTGGCCGTTGTTTATGGTCAACTACTTGATTCCATCAGTCAGATCAAGATAATCAGGGTTGGAAGTTCCTGATTGGATTGGGGTTGCGCTTCTCGGGTGGTTGATTTGACCTGATCCATGTGTTCCAACTGATAAAGTGTGTAGTCGATGAGACGACAGTGGTTCCTTTAGAGGACATTCAGGTAGATGAACGCCAAATTATATTGAGAGGCTTATGTCGATATTGGATAGGAAGGTGAAGACCTTGAGGGGCAAGGAGGTGCACCTGGTTAAGGTGAAAGGGCGACACCGTAGAGGTTCATAGTGGACTTGCGATCCGGAGTCTGTGGTGCGTGAGGGGGTTCCAGAGCTGTTTCCAGAGAATGACTTCGAGGGCGAAGTTTGATCCTAGTGGGGGAGAATTGTAACACCTCGATTTCCCGGATGTGGAACTAAGGGTTTTATGCACATTATAGGACCTACTCGACGAGTTGGATGGCCCCAACTCGTCGTGTAGGAGCTGAGTTGACCGTGTGGGTTTAAGAACCAACTCAACGAGTTGAAGGGACCAACTCGACGAGTTGGAGCTGAATGAGAAAACCCCTAATCGAGAAAATCTCTAATCGAGCTACTTCCTATTTTGAGAGTGTATTAGGCTAAGAGAGTGGATTTTGGTGCATTCCTTGAAGGAACATGAAGAGTGAGGAACTTGGAACAAGAAGGAGTCTTTAGATCCAACTTTCATACATTCGTAGCATCCACATGGAGGTAAAAAGTCTTTACCTTGGCTTACCATTTTGTAGATCTCTTCTTATGTGAGTTTATGGGCATTTTGGTGCAAAATGAGGGCCATTCTCGGGTTAAACTTGTCCATAGGGTGTAGTTGCAGATCTGGACTCCTCTAGGCCCTCATGTACATAAAATCTCAAGCTTTATCAAGCTTTGGCCCTTCTCTATGCCTTAAACCCTTCTTGAGCTTAGTTTTTGGAGTTTTAGCCTTGTGAGGCCTTGCATGATCATAAAGTTAGCAACTTTACGTGGTAACTTCATCCTAGGAGATTGGATCTAGAGTTCGGAGCATTGGAATCGACTGGAATGAGTTTAATGTGTAATGGCTGAAGAACTCGACGAGTTGAGTTGGGTTTTCCTGTCTTTGGATTCAGAGTGAACTCGACGAGTTGGTGGGACAACTCGACAAGTGGTTAGGGTTTTTCCCCGATCTTCTAGACTTTGCATGGACTCGACGAGTTGGCTAGCAACTCGGCGAGTTGACTCGGGTTTTCATGATCTACTGAGTACTAAGGAACTCGGCGAGTTCATGAGTTGCACTCGACGAGTTGGATCAGCTTTGACTGTTGACTTCTGTTGACTTTATGGTTTTGGTCAAGCTATGGATTTTGAAGGTCATGGAGAGGCGGAGTCTAGATTAGCAGTTCGAGTGGGGGAGAATAGTAACACCCCGACACCCAGGTACAAGTTTTAAAGCATTATATACATATTTATGGACCTACTCGACGAGTTGGTTTCCCCCAACTCGTCGTGTAGAGGCGGGATAACCCGCGTGGATTACTAGATCTACTCGACGAGTCGAAGGACCTGGACTCGACGAGTAGGAGCTGGGAAATGAAACCCTAATTTTTAGGGTTTTCACCTTATTTAAAGGACCTTAAGTCATTTCCTCCAGTCCCTGATCACCCCCCTTGACGGCTAGAAGAAACCCTAATCGCTATTAACCTTTTTCTTGAGTGTTGTGAGGCTTAAAAAAGTGATTTGTGGTGCATTTTATGAAGAAGGTGTGAAGTATAAGAAGCTTGGAGCAGAGAGGATCTCGAGGATCTGAATTTACTACATCTTGACATCATTTTGAAGGTAACAAGTCGTTACCTTGGCTTATCTTTAGCTAGATCTCTTCATGTTTGGGTTTAGGGCCATCTTTGGTACATTTGGGAGCCATTTCGGGTATTGGGGCAAATCTGAAGTTGCAACTTCAGATCTGGACTCCCTTTGGTCCCTTTAGCCATAAAGTTAGGAGATTTTGCAAGCTTGGGTCCTTCCCTTTGAGTTAGCCTTTCCCTTAGTCTAGTTTTGACATTTAGGACCATGCATACACGTAAAGTTTGCAAATTTACGTGGAAAACATGGCCTAGGAGGTTGGATCTGCAATATGGAGCTTTGGGGTGGCTTAAAAATATTTGTATATGAAATGGACTGCATGAACTCGACGAGTCGCATAGACGACTCGGCGAGTCCGATGAAGATTTACCGTGGATGGGTTCTGCATGGACTCGGCGAGTCAGTAAGGGTTTTCCCTGACTTCTGGACACGCATGGACTCGACGAGTTGGTTGGAAACTCGACGAGTCAGTGAGTATTTTATGACTTTCTGAGTTATTAAGGAACTCGACGAGTTGCTAGCTGCACTCGACGAGTTGGGTCAACATGGGCTGTTGACTTTGACCGTTGACTTTGACTTTGACGAAGGGTTGACCAGTTTGACTTCTAGGGGTATTTAGGTAATTTGGGAATTTATGGGAGAGGATCATCGGTGGATGCAGGTGTTGGACTTGGAGCTGCATTTGGTGGAGTTTGACTTTATCACTTCGTGCTACTTGTGGGGTGAGTTCTCCTCACTATATCAACTGGGTCTAAGGAACCAATGTCGGCCCTTATCGGATTTGTATCCAGGTTTATTGCATGATATGTTTATTGATTTACATCCTGGTAGTTAGGATGGTGATATGCTTAGTGACCTGGTAGGTCGGTGATGCGACATTGGCTCCGACCACCTGCTCTGAGGATGTGCTTCTACGCTGGAGACAGATCTGCGAGGTCACAACAGACAATGCCGTTAGAGCTGCCCCAGGGACTGTGCCCCGGGAGCGGGCTCCGACGGTCAAGTTAGATCATCTGGTAGATCTGAGATGGCTCTCTTTAGCTAGAGAGAACCATATTGGTGCTGGTGGTGGTGTATGGTGGCTGACGGCGGCGGGTAGCGACTGAGCCACCCGGCCGGAGTATAGTGTGGCGGCTAAGCCAAGGGGAACATCCTAAGGGAAAGGTCTTAGGGAAAAGGGTCCCCTTTCATGGAGGAGGCACTATTCTATTTATAGGGGACAACTAGTTCAAGGGGAATTAGGTCAGGCCTTGGGCCAACCCAATTCAGGCCCAACTAGCAAGGAGTTGGGCAAGGCCGCCCGGAGGCGCCGGGCAGGGCTGGCGGGCACGCCCCAGGCAAGGCTGGTGGGCGCGCACCAGGAACGGATGGCAGGGGAGCGCCAGGCGAGGGAGCGCCGGGCCGGGCCGACAGGAGAGTCCCCAGCACGGCTGGCAAGGGAGCGCCAGGCAAGGCTGGCAAAGGAACGCCAGATAGGGCTCGCAGGAGCGCGCCAGGCCAGGATGGCGCTCTAGAGCAGTCTGGGCCATACTAATGGACCATATATCATCAAGTCCCCCCAGTCTGATGTTATTGGTACGTGGCCAATGACATCGGACTGGACTTCGTCATATAAATTGTGTGTCGTCAAGTCCCCCTAGTCTGGTGCGATTGGGTTGCTGACAATCGGATCGGACTAGATAAAACACCAATACATTAAATAATAGAGAGAACGACCGAACCTCGCCTACGAGAGTCGTGGGGTTGTGCGAAGAGCCAAACACTGCTTATGCAGCTTGAGCTGACTTGATACTCCTTTCTTGAGAGGAGAGTGATCCTGTCGGTGTGATGTAGCGTAACTGTTGTTGGCAATGTTTTGCAGAGTGGGGCTGCTAAAGAGTGTTATGCGACTCTGATGTCGATAAAATGTCGGGTCGGGGTAGCTAAGTACCGTAACCTCGTCATACAGTCTCTAAGACCGTTGTCGAGCTCCGAAATCTGTAAATAGATACAACGTACTTGGTCCATGATTCCCGCGTTCCAGTCACAGCTGAAAGTTGTTAATAGAAATAGACGCTCTGAGCGTCGCACGCGCACCTCGGTGAGGGGGACGAGACCCGCAGCCAACACCGGGTGGCGAGTTATATTTCTATGCCCGCTGGATGGGAACTTTGAGTGACTGATCAGCGGTGCACACTTCACAAGTCCCCTGTAAATGCTTTACAGACCGAGCTTTGCTCCTCGAGTTTGCTGTTGGCGCACTCTGAGTATCGAAGCCCTAGAGCGATTATCTGAAAAGACAACTCGATCAAATAATTAGTATTTTTTCATGAAATAATAAGTCGACTCATATTGCCTGTCGCGATTGTTTCTAAATGCTTCATGAATAGTAGTAGCAATAATGCACTACTCTTCTCCCTCCCCCCTTTTTGATGAAAACGTCAAGCTGGTCGGATCGCATCTTCTAGAATCAGATTTATCTTGATTGAAATGGAGCGCACGAGCTTTGATTTTTTTTTAAAAATGATGAGTGGTCCGGGCTTAGCAGCTAGCGATCATGGGGATGTCACACGGGAGAGCATCGCATGGAACGGATCGGGCTTAGCTGCAAGCGATCGTTGGTACATCACGCGGGAGAGCATCGCGTGGAATGGATCGGGCTTGGCTGCCAGCGACCGTAGGTACATCACGCGGGAGAGCATCGTGTGGAATGGATCAGGCTTAGCTGCCATCGATCGTAGATAGATCACACGAGAGAGCATCGTGTAGAATCATATAGGTAAAGTTTGCAAGCCTTTGAGCCTCGCATGCGGAGCTTTCCGCTGGAGTCGAGCTGAGAAGTCAGGTGACTTGAGGCGAGGGTACTGAACCTCGCATGCGGAGCTTGCCGATATAATGGAGTCAGGCTGAGGAGCTGGGTGACTCATGGCGAGGGTACTGAACCTCGTATGCGGAGCTTGCCGCTGTAAAGGAGTCGGCTGAGAAGCTAGACGACTCGAGGCGAGGGTACTGAACCTCGCATGCGGAGCTTGCCGCTGTAATGCAGTCGGGCTGAGAAGCCAGACGACTCGAGGCGAGGGTATCAAACCTCGCATGCGGAGCTTGCCGCTATAATGAAGTCGGGCTAAGAAGCCAGGCGACTCAAGGCGAGGGTACTGAACCTCGTATGCGAAGCATGCCGCTATAATGGAGTCGGGCCGAGAAGCCAAGCGACTCAAGGCAAGGTGTTAAACCTTGAAGGGCTGGGCATATCATCCTACAATCTATGTGTCTGGCCCGGGGGATCAGCTCGTGTTGAAGTGTAATGGCGCCTGATGCTTTGCTGCATCACTATTTTGGTGATTGGTGCCTCGCTGTCTTAGCTATCTGCCGAAGGCTATGCAGTGATGCTACTTAGAGTTGTATAATGTAGTTGTTGTCACGTGGTGCATAGCGAGACTGTCGTCGAGAGCTGGTCAACAGGGCCGCTGAGAACAGAGCATCGAGCTGCTAGCGATACATGAGCAGCATGACCACTGAGAGCTGCGCAACGAGACTGGGTAGCACGTCTGGCGAGATACATAGCTACTGGAAAGAGCTAGGCAACCCAAGTACTAACAAAACTGGATAGCACGTCTGGCGAGAGCTGAGCAGCGCGACTGCTGGGAGTCAAACAAAGTATCTGCTGATGATTGGGCTTTGGGGCTGCTGAGCTAGGTCGTGTTGCTGCAGAAGGTCGAGCCGCGCGACTAGTAAGACATGGGCAGTAAGACTAGCGGGGGCCGGTCAACATGAATGTGAGAGCTGATTAGCGAGACTTCCCGGGATTGGTCAACACGGATGTTGATAGCCGCGCAACGCATTTGCTGATGGGTATTTTGAAATGCTTCACTAGTAGTAGTAGAGTACTACTCTTTTTCCTCCCTTTTTTTGAGACTTTATCAACCCGCATTGTGTATTCTGAAAACGTTTTTGCTGAGCAGGATTGCAGTGCACGAGTACTAAGTAGCTGGTTTTTTTTATATTACAAGAGTGGGCCAATTCGATGTTGTTGAAATAGTCCATAAAAATTGAAAAAGGCCCAAAATTAATGCTATAGCCCAATTGATGAATTAGGCCCAATGCTTTTTTTTGTGAAACGTATTTAAAGGCTAAAGTATCGTATGGGGCCCATCACTTTTGATGTTATCAGTTTCGAAGGAAACAAAAAGGGTCTCCCATCGTTCTTCACCATCCCGAGCTGCTAAAAGGGGAAAAGCATCGGCGGCTGGTGGTTGAAGGTTTGGTAAATCCCGGTGTCACTCGCCAGCGGATGGCCATTGAATGCATTTGGCGGTTACAGGCGGCGGTGCTTTGATGACCCGGTGACTGCAGGGGATCCGACGGCGGCGATTTTTGGTGGTGATATGCGCTGAAGCTGTCGTTGCTGATGGTGGTAGGTAACAACAGGTGGAGAGGCTGAATATTTTGGTGGTGCTTTGCTTTCGCTTTCCGGCGGCGACGATACAGGACATGGAGGCAGATCGTGGTTGTGTAACGCCCGATTCTCAGGTATTGATTTGATATAAGAATTCTCTTGATTGCAAGGGCTACTCGACGAGTTGGTTGCCCTACTCGTCGAGTAGCAGCGGGTTGGTCCACGTGTTTTAGTGACCTACTCGCCGAGTCCAAGAAGGGACTCAACGAATAGGACCTGGGGGATTAAACCCTAATTTTCGGGGTTTTGCACCCTATTTAAGGATCAGTTATTCCCCCTTAGCCTCTCTTACTGCTCCCCTCGAATTCAGAAACCCTAATTTGTGCTTGTTCTCTATATTGGTGTGCTTCTTAGCTTGGAATAGGGATTTTGGTGAGGAAAGGTTTGAAGATCAAGAAGCTTGGAGCAAGGAACAGCTGGGGATCTGAAGTCTACCTCAGTTGGTCACCATTTAGAGGTATATAGTCATCACCTTGAGCTTCTCCTAATTAGACCCCTTCTATATTTGAGTTTTGGGACCATTTTGGGCATTTGGTGTTGCATTTCGAGTGATGAATCAAGATCTGAAGTTGCAACTTCAGATCTAGGCTCATCTTGGCTCTTATCATCATAAAGTCTCAGCCTTTGGCATGTTGGTGAAGCTCTTTTGCCTAGAACCTCTTCTTTAGCTTATTTTGGGTCATTATCATCTTGCATACATGTAAAGTTTGCAACTTTACATGATAAACATGCCTTGGGAAGCTGGATCTACAATATGGAGCCTTAGTATGGCCTAAAAAGCATCTGTATGGTTGAAGGATTGAAGGGACTCGGCGAGTCGCAAGGTCGACTCGGCGAGTCATATGAAGATGGTCATGTACTCGACGAGTTGGATGAACAACTCGGCGAGTCCGTTGAAGACTGCCTTGGGCTCGGCGAGTCAGTCGAATGACTCGACGATTCGGCAAGGGTTTTTCCCCAACCCTTGGACATGCATGAACTGGACGAGTTGCGGGGAAACTCGACGAGTCAACCAAGGATTTCACGACTTCTCGAGTTCAGGAAGGACTCGACGAGTCGGTAAACTGTACTCGACGAGTCGGGTCAACATGGACTGTTGACCTTGACTGTTGGCTTTGGCTTTGACCAAGGTTTGACCAGTTCGCCTCTGAGGGTATTTTAGTAATTTGGAAATTTATGAAAAAGGGTTTTATGGTAACTATAGGTTGTGGAGTTCGTGTTGGTGATTCGAGAGTTGAGCCTATCACTTCAGTGCGACTTTTGGGAGGTGAGTTATCCTCACTATATCAACAGGGTCTACGGCACCAAGGCCGACCCTTTATGATTTACATCCTGGTTTAGGATGGTTGTTATGTTATTGTTATGCTAGATTTCATCCTGGTTTAGGATGGTTGCTATGTTAGATTACATCCTGGTTTAGTATGGTTGCTATGTTATTGCTATGTTAGATTTCATCCTCGTTTAGGATGGTTTCTATGTTAGATTTCATCCTGGTTTAGGATGGTTTCCATGCTAGAGATCGGTTAGATCGGTATCCTGGTTATAGGATGGTTACCATGTTAGTGATCTGTTAGATCTGCATGTTTACTTGTTTATATGTATGTGCACATCTTTGTTGGTTTGGGGAAAGGGTTGAGGCAGGTCCTGCTGTGTGCAGTAGGCCAAGACACCCTGGGCGGACCGGGTAGACTACAGGCCCGGGTCGGGCAAATCTAGTCAGACCGAAGGCCCAGTGAGCGGTCCGGATAGGCTGAAGGCCCCGAGGAGGGCGGTCCAGACGTGCCGAGGGCTCGGAGAGCGGTCCAGATAGACTGAGGACCAGGATTTGGTCTAGTCATTCTGACGGCTCATTATTTATGTTGTTTGCTTATATGTTATATGATATGATTATGACTGTATGGCGTTGGTATTTTGGGGGTAACTCACTAAGCCTTCGAGCTTACATTTATCGATTATTGTTTCAGGTACTTCTGATGATCGCGGGAAGGCGAAGGCGTGATCGTACCGCTCCTCATATTTTATGATTTTATGATTTGATTCTGGGATACTCTGACAATATACTATTTTGAAAACAAGTTTGTAATAATCATGTGTTTTGAAATGTTTTAAAAAGTTTTAAATTGGCTCGAATTTTATGGGATGTTACAAGTTGGTATTAGAGCCTTGGTTTGAGTGAATTGGAGGAAACACTCGCGTGTCTCCAGTCTCAAACTGAGGACAAGATTTCAAAAAAAAATCTTAAAATGTTTTCAAAATAATAAAGGAGGATGCAAGTGTACGATCAGCCGGAGCTCGCGGATAGACCCCAAAATACCTTACGGATTATTTGAGTTACGAGATATGATTAGAACAGCATGCTAGTACTAGGCTAGGGATCTTCAGGAATTGCATGATAGAATTTCTTGATTATATGATGCCTGATAGCCTAGGGTTTCCTTATATGAAATTGACATCATTACTGTAGTTGTTTAGTGTATGCATCACGGCTGTACATAATTAAGATCTTATAGCCTGAGAATGTTTGGTTTGGCCTTATTTCCTGTTCTTGTCTTATGAAGGACTTAGGGTAGGGTCAGGTATTCGAAAGTCTATAGGGTCCAGCGTTATGTATGGTTATCATACACGAGTGCGGCAGGGTTGGTGGAAGTTTCATGGATGGGTAGGTTGTTTGGGATGAGTCCGCCGACTACGAGATATTTAGCCTTCTTCTAGGAGTGAGGCTTGAGCGCTTGCTATGATTATGTATATTGTTGGGGCGTTGTGATGATACTTGAGACAAATATGGGTAGGTGTGGAAGGTAGTATGGGCCCGTACTATTAAAAGCACATGACCCATACGCGTAGCAAGGAAGTCACAACCCCTAGGGTTTTTTGGGGAGTTGGTTCCCAGTTCTTTGTGTGGATTATCTGATACCTTTTATTATGTTTCAGAATGGTGTTGACCAGGTGCTTTGTGACTGGATTCGGTTCGGGATTAGGATCAGGAGAGGGAGAGGGCGGATAGGGGGTGCCGACAGCGCTCGAGACTATCGACCAAATGAGGCCAGATAAGATGGATTACAGGATCCGAGAGATCCTGCATGATGAGGTTGCTGCTTTGTTCCGGGCCGAGTTATTGGAGATGTTCGGGTCTATTAAGACCGCTATGGTGGAGTATTTCGATGATTGCTATGCAACCCTCACTGAGGCGGCTGCCGCAGCAGCTACAGCAGTTGTATCGGCGGCAGGGTTGAGAGCCGGTCGGGCTTTTCAGTATCGGGACTTCGACAACACGAAGCCCCCTACTTTTAATGGGACTCAGGACCTCATCAAAGCAATGAGGTGGCTGTCTGATGTGGAGGGATGTCTCTTCACATGCTTATGTCCTACTGACCAGAAGGTCAGATGTGCCCTAAACTTGCTAAGGTCCGGGGCAAAGGATTGGTGGAGGTTGATGACTGAGTCGTATTCAGACGAGTAGAGAGCTGCTGTTACTTGGGAGCAGTTCAGGGATATGTTCCGCGCTCGCTACATTCCTCGAGTCGAGCGAGAACGTTTAGCTCAGAAGTTTTTGGAGTTGAGACAGGATCGGGAGACGGTGACGGAGATCACCCGTATTTTCACTGAGAGGGCGATGTTCTGCCCGGAGTTTGCTTCTGA